CAACAGGAACAAGCTATCACTGTTAACCTGATGATGAAATATAAAATCAACATTGTTTAACTGAACAATCACACGATAATAAATCACAGTGCATTTAGTGGCAACGACAGCCTTAAGACATGTGTTGAACGTGCCCAAGCCCATACTTATGAGAGCACCGTGTGAGCACCTGTGTGTGTACACGCGCTGGTTTATGTAAGGATTCTCTATAGGAGCGTCCAACAGAGTGTGAGGGACCACAGATCTGCCCCCCAAAGATGTGTAGGAGATGGGGGCGGAGCTCCAAGTCCCAGAGATCCAGGCGCTGCCCCAGAACACAGGAACCCCAAGGAGACTGCAACCAGAAAGGCCCCCGCACCTCTCGAGAGGCACAGAGGATCGCCCCCGGGGGCCACAACCAGCAGCCGGCAGAGTCCTGGGAGATATCAGCGGCAAGCCCACAGGCCCGCCCGCAGCCTCCCACCCCCTAGCCGGCCGAGCCCGGGACCCAGCGACCCGGGACCCAGGGGCGACCACCCCCGCCGGGGACCCAGCAGAGCCCAGGGACCCAGACCCCACCAGGCAACCACCGGGATTGATCAGGCAGACACCAAAAACCTTAAACCCCCTGGCCCGGGAGCCACGAACACTCAGGCAGACCAAGGCACCACACCCCACACCAGGTGTGGCAGGGGGAGGGGAGACGAAGATCTATATCATCACAAGAAGTCCCAGGAGAAGAGAGGAGTCAAAGGCCCCACCTGACATATACAGTCATACACAAACACAGTCACACACTCCCTCCCTCATGCTCAAAGTATGCAGTGTTGATGTCATCTGGCGTGTGACGTCTGCTCTGGGTTCAAAGCAGACAAAAACTAATGCATGAATTCCATTACAACATAACATTTTTATTGCAATAATATGCAGCTGCACCCGCTACTGTATTAGCAGCTGCACCTGCTACTGTATTAGCAGCTGCACCCGCTACTGTATTAGCGGCTGCACCCGCTACTGTATTAGCGGCTGCACCCGCTACTGTATTAGCGGCTGCACCCGCTACTGTATTAGCGGCTGCACCCGCTACTGTATTAGCGGCTGCACCCGCTACTGTATTAGCGGCTGCACCCGCTACTGTATTAGCGGCTGCACCCGCTACTGTATTAGCGGCTGCACCCGCTACTGTATTAGCGGCTGCACCCGCTACTGTATTAGCGGCTGCACCCGCTACTGTATTAGCGGCTGCACCCGCTACTGTATTAGCGGCTGCACCCGCTACTGTATTAGCGGCTGCACCCGCTACTGTATTAGCGGCTGCACCCGCTACTGTATTAGCAGCTGCACCCGCTACTGTATTAGCAGCTGCACCCGCTACTGTATTAGCAGCTGCACCCGCTACTGTATTAGCAGCTGCACCCGCTACTGTATTAGCAGCTGTACCTGCTACTGTATTAGCACCTGCTACTGTATTAGCAGCTGCACCCGCTACTGTATTAGCAGCTTTACCTGCTACTGTATTAGCAGCTGCACCTGTTACTGTATTAGCAGCTGCACCCGCTACTGTATTAGCAGCTGCACCTGCTACTGTATTAGCAGCAACACAACAAACTGCATGCATGCAGTTTCTCAGTGACTTTAAAACATCACCTCCACCCTAAAACTTTTTCTGATGCTCCAAATACAGAAAAACATCCCTTACCAGGGTTTTTAGAATAAATAGTTTAAATGTTAAATAATAGTTAACATCACTTAAATGCAACAGCAAATTCTCTCATTGCTACTGAGCATTTTCTCCACTTATGTGGTTATGATAGAAGGCTGTTGCTGTAATTGGGAAGTGAACTGTGCTGGGCCAAACTAGGAGAATATTACGATTTTCTGAGGGAAAGAGAAAAACAATTGTCTACCTTTCAGAAAAGGAACTGGCAAAAAAATACATGGAAAATATGTGAAAACATTTGTTTTTAACCCCAAATTGAACAAGTTTACCTAGATCTTAAAAAGCAGCTCAGATGATGAAACTGCAACTATGATTCTGATAACAAGCTAACTAATTGAACTAGCTCCTCTAAGATAAGCGGCTAGCAGAGCTTCTGACTGACAGTTTATGTGCAGCAGCAAATCAACTATCCTGATTAACAAGGTTATAAAAGCTCATAAATGAAAAATCACTTTGATGTGTGGGGGAGCTTTTCCAGGCCCTCTTTAGCAGGGTGGGACTGGGAGGAGAGTGCTGTAGCCTTTTAGCTGGAAGCTAACCGGAGCCTGGGGCTAACATCACCACCCGGTGGAGCACTAGCGACATGGAGGTGGGTTGGTTCACCGGCACGTGTCGGAGTCAGCCCGGTTATTATCAGCTGCTTAACGACACCGAGCGGACTCACGTTCACGTTTGAAAGCAGCGCTGAATCCAGAAACCTCAGCACAAAGTGCGTTCGTTGCTCTGAGCCAGCATGACGAACAAGGGAACGGCGCCGCTAACCCCCAAATTCCACTACCTCCGCTCCGCTCCGGTCCGCCCCCGCCTTCCGCAGCCGCTCGCTTCCGAACTCAATTTTTACTGGTACCCGCTCTACAACGGCTCCGCTCCGGTGCGGAGACCTGAGGGGGGCAAACAAGCATGCGCGGGATTTTCGAGATCTTGCGATACAGTCCGAGCAATAAACGCAGAAGTAAGATCCAAACACCCGTTGTGTGGGAGAAGCATCGGCATGAACTGTTTAATCTGCCCATCATTTGTGTTGAGAGATCAGCAGTGTTTGGATCAACAAAGGGTGACTACTTTGATAGTGGAAACTGTATTTATGGCTTACTTTTGTGCATTTAAACTTCAGCCGCCACTGATAGTTGTTAAAAGTTGTTAAACCTGTGCATATGAAACAAAAAACGCCCTTTGTTTATCGATTTATTGTGAAAAACGGAAGTTGTGCTTGCTCCTTTTCCTGTTGGGCCGTTGTGATTCCTGTCCATTTACTGCGGAGGTGCTCCGGCGTCCGGCGAAAATAGGATCGATTCTATTTTTGCCGAACGCCGGAACAGAGGGCGGCGCACGGGACCGATTTTGCTCCAGCGTTCGTGTCGGAGCGGAGCGGAGGTAGTGGAATTTGGGGGTTACTCTGTTCGGGTGTTGCTTTCCAAAAGGGTCTACGTAGGGGGCGGGCGTATTACGTGAACGGACCCATCTGATTTGCCGCATATCAGAAGGACTACATTTGATTGGTCAAATAATACTTCCACATAAAAGAGCTGGTTTACAAAAAGCTGATGTATGACACGGATGGAAATGTATGAACCAAACATTTATCGCCGTTTTTGACGTGCTTTGCGATGGGCCTATCGCACGTCCTGTTATCACGACGACGATAATTTTTCGATATATTGTGCAGCCCTAACCCTTACCTTAAATCTAACAAAACACAGAACATAAAACCTAGTCATGTAGAATAAAGTGTAACAGCAAACTAATGTAAAATACTTTTAATATTTGTTTTGTTTGTTTTGGCAGGTGCCTTTTGGAAACTGAAGACTCCTGTTGAAACAACCAGAATGTTCTTGTTTTTTTAGCCTTTTTATTTTATTTATTTATTTTTTTAAAGCTTTTGGACCATTCGAGTGTGTTTAGAAAAAAGAAACATGCTGAATAAACTTTTGCATTTGACATGTAAAATGTCCTTTCATTAATGAATATTGTTGCCTAAATATTTAAATTCATTATTCTGATTTAAATTGCGTGGTCAGATCATATTTGGATCTGGAATGGAGCTGGGCCAGACTCAGGCCAGTTGTGGTCCACATTTCTTCTGAAACTTAGCCAGAGTAGGACTGGATGTCAACTTAAAAATCCACATTCAGCCCTGTGCTGGTCCAGTTACGGCCCTGATTCGGAAAAATGAATCTGCGCAGCGCCGGTGTCGGTACAGGATCTGCTCGGGTGCAAGATCGGCTCGGGGTCCGTCGACTGCCGATGACGTCTAAGTAGTTGATTGGCTGAACATGAACCTCAAGGAATTACGTAATCACGTTACGTTGGTCCAGGCAAATCTTTCTATTGGAAAGATGGACAACTTTTACAAAGAAATCCATCATTACCTCTTTGAAAATACACTTTTAGCATAGAGCTGCATGTATATTAGGGCTGAACGATTAACTGCATGTGCAATTAAATTGCGATGTGACAAAAGGAGATTTTCTAATCTCAAAGGCTGCAATTTGGCAGCGAGTGGTTAGCGCAATGCTAATATACATGGAAAAACCCATAGGAATGCTAATGCTAATATCGCCGATTACATTATTGAAAATTATGAATTAGAAACGTGCCAAATGATTACATTTGGAGTCTAATAGAAAGTAAAAATACCATCAATCAAATAAGTACAGACAGGTATTTTAGTAAAGCCAGAAAACTTTTAACTCCAGAGTTTTGGCTAGCAGCTATGAGCATAACTGAACTACTCATGGACAAGACGTCAAAAACTCTAAACACAAAATACTTAAATAAACGGGACACACTTCTTTCCTGCAAATACAATTTCACAGGTGTTGCTAATACCTATGATCCTTCAAGGGATGTGCTCAAAGAGGAGTTCAACATTATGAATACAATATAGTGTTTTATTTTACAAATACCATTATAAACACAAACTTACGTCTTAAGAAACATTATTTTAATAACGAAACTGCTAAATTCTTTCCAACAGTATAGATGTGTAGTGTATTTTGTCCGAGTCGGTTTGCCGTACTTTGACGTCATCGGCAGTCGAAGGACCCCGAGCCGATCTTGCACCCGAGCAGATCTTGTACCGACACCGGTATTGGCCCAACACTGGCCCGGGTTCGTTTTGCGAAACCGGGCCAAATGATTTTGCTATTTGGGATAGTATCTGGAATAAAGTGTGAACTAGAAACGTGCCAGAAGGAGGCTGATGGGTTTGTTTATTACTGGTTCAGTTTGGGGGAGTTTGTTCTTGTTTGAGTGTTGGATCCCAACCCAGCACGTGGAGCTGTATTTGTGTTGTACTCACAGGCCTCTAAGGATGAGGGGGACTTGGAAAGACATCACGGCTTGTTTCTGCCTGATTACGAACAGAAATGGACTCTCCACCTGCTGCTGCAGCACATCCACAGACACACGAACCCCCTCCGTCTGAAAGGCGGAGAGAAGGGTCACCAACCCGAACTTAGCACCGGGGAACGGGACACCGCTTGTCTGCCGACTCACCTTGTTCCGGGAGATGGTGTGGTTGAACGCATAGATGGTCTGGTTGTCACTGGTAACCAAGTCATTATAGGTTATGTCAAACTCGGCCTCTTTCTGGACGATATGCTTTGTCTCCCCTGCCGCTGCGGCGCAGCAGATAGACCGGATCGCACACATCCAGAGCAGGAGCACAATTGCAGCTCGAAACCAACGAAGTGCTTTATGGCGAGATTTCCTGCAGATCCGTAGCAACATCATGTTTGACGCCGTCTTGTCCACCTGAGAACGGATACCTGACCTTACTCTAGCCTGTAATGGCAACGCAAAACACAACTCCACCCCATTAAGCTAGCAGCTAACGCGACAGCTCCCCCGAATCAACAAACAAAATAGCTGCTGGTATGTTCGTGTCCGGAACAAAATGTCAGAGCTGCCGTCAAAAACACGGTTTAGAGGCGACAACACATCAAACGCGCTCATTTACAAACGCTAAAGAGAGCTAAGATTAGAACTGTTCACGGTTCTGGAGCCTCTGATCTGAAAACCGGAAGTTGTACAGCAAAACAAAACTGTGTCAAGCCAGCCTCCAGTTTATTGTCGGTTCCCCGTCTATTCAAAGTATTACGGGAAGGGATGTGGAAACCGGATTTCAAAATAAAAGTAAACTTCGAGCGAATTATCAGATATTTTAAGAACATAACAAATAATTTAGGCTTGTTCACTATTTGCGCCCTGTCCATATCAAGGCCATCTTATTTTGGATTTCAAAGTCAAAGCCCTGTGAATTTTCATTTTTGAACTACTCTTTCAGTGACTTCAGAATGCTCTTAAAAGCAAAAGTCATATTTCAAAAGAGTAGTTGTATTTTGAATTAACATGTGAATCCAACAAAAACAATTTGAAATTTCCCATATTTGACCGACTCTTAACAATTTCAAAATGCTCTAAAATGGAAAATTGCAGTTTCCACAGGGTAATTCCACTTTAGATCAACAGTATATGCATATAAACAGTGTCAAAACTAAAATATCTAAAACTATTGCACTGTTACATAGAGCAAAAGGGTTACTTGATAATAATTCACTATATTTGTTATATAACTCACTGATCATACCATACATGAACTACTGCATTGAAATCTGGGGAACAACATATAAAACTTACACAAATTCCATTTACATCTTACAGAAAAAAGCAGTAAGAATAATCACAAGGAGCAACTACAGAGATCCGTCCAATCCATTATTTATTAAATTAAAAACACTAAAATGCTATGATCTGGTGGACTACAATATTTTAAAATTTATGTATAATGCAAACAAAAGGAACGCACCTGCAGGTTTAATCAAAAGATTTACAAAAACACATAGTAAATATGATTTAAAGGGACATGAATTATTTAACATACCTGGACATCGGTTACTCGTAAAGGAACATTGTGTGTCCATATATGGAGTTAAAATATGGAACAAATTAAATACTGAAATCAAGAATGCAAAAACTGTATTGACTTTCAAAAAAGAGATAAAAATGAAATGATTTAACTTTTATAGATCTGTTACATAAATGTGTGAGGGGAGGGGGGTGGGGGATGAAAGAAAAAATAAAAATTAAATTAAAAAAAGGGAAAAGGAAACAAGTCTCTGTATGCATATGTGTATATATGTATGTATATAGGTCTATAACTTGATGCTTCTTTCTGTGTAACTTGTTTTCTTTCTTTTTTTTCAATTCATGGGTTGAGGTTGTGTCGGCCAACCAGTCCAGAAACAATATTGTTCAAATTTTTTTAAGAATCATATGATTGTTTCATTTGTATTAATGTTATTTTAGTTAAAAGGGGCAGACAACCTAAATTTTTCTTCTTTCTGTCCCCTTTTTCATTTTGGCTTGCAGCAATTTAGTTCTGTATTTTTATTTTAATGTCAATAAATGAAAATAAAAGAGAGAGAAAAAATAAAAATAAAACTGTAATCAATTCAGATTCATTTGTAACATTTCTGAAAAAGCGCCCTCACCTCATGCTGGGTACTCAGTTTTACCCTGCCACCTGAGCAGCTGTCAGCAATTATGATAAGCAGGAGAAAATGTCGCCCGCACTGCTCATGAATCCCTCATTCTTCTTCAGCTCCAAGGGGTAAGCAATGTTATGTTTTATTAAACACCAAAAGAAGATGGTTATTTTTTTATGTGACGATTGCAGGGGTCCTTCAGGCGTACTCACGGGCACCCTAGCGTTTAGCATTTTAGCTGGTGGAGGTGAGGACAAATGAGCAGCTCCTTATTTCATTTCAAGTTGAACAGAGGGAGTGCAGACGGCAGCCAATGGGAGTGGATGTGAGAGACGGGATATCACATCTCCACTTTATACTCTCAAAACCCAGTTTTAAATACAGACAACTCGGCTCCTGTGCAGGAGTGTGTGTGTGTGTGTGTGTGTGTTTAATTGAGTGAATCGTGAAGCTTAAAACAGTTTAAATAAAACACTACAGATGGATGAAAAATAATTTATGTGTTTATCCATCCATTTTCTGAACCTGCTTTGTCCACGCAGGGTCGCGGGGGGGCTGGTGCCTATCTCCAGCGGTCAATGGGCAATCAGGCGGGGTACACCCTGGACAGAGCCAGTCCATCGCAGGGCAACACAGAGACACACAGGACAAACAATCATGCACACACACCTAGGGACAATTTAGACAGACCAATCAACCTAACAGTCATGTTTTTGGACTGTGGGAGGAAGCCGGAGAACCCGGAGAGAACCCACGCATGCACAGAGAGAACATGCAAACTCCATGCAGAAAGATCCCAGGCCGGGAATCGAACCCTGGACCTTCTTACTGCAAGGCAACAACTCTAACCGCTGCACAGCCCATTTATGTGTTTATATTTTGCATAATTGGGTTTAAACAGTGTTAAATCAATAGAAGATGTTGGATGATTGCTAAATAATAGATTCTGATAATGATCATTAAATTACACTACTATTAAAATGAGTGATGTGCTAACCTGTATTAGCTTTTAATGTGTTAAAATGTTTAGAAATGAAGAACTAAATAAAAACAGATAAGCATGATGGCTGAATTAAAACTCTTATTTTTTAGAGTAAATTTTTGTCTAACTTAATAATTAACTTTCTTCTCTTTTGTTTCTGTAGCTGATTAACTGAATAAAATCCACTTTAGCTTTAATGTTTATTCTCCTGCTGTCCTCTAGGGTGCGCTGTTGAGTTGTGATTTCCCCCTGAATTAATTTCCTCTAAAAACTAGTGCATTCTAGATCATTCAGACCTTCCTCCACTTGGAAAACATTTTGCAAACTGATAATCAAGTCACTGATTGGCTGTTTTATCTCAACTCAAAGCAAGTAAATCACAGAATGATGTGAATCGATGCCTTCTACAGCAGAGAGCAGCTTCAAAGTGAGGCTTGGAGCTGATAATCCATAACGATGCCTCTCCTAGTGGCATAAACCATCACTGTGATTGCTGTCTTCATTTGTCAGTTCCAAATCAAGCGTTGGTTGAGTACAGGTTTCCTCCAGCTTAAACTTGGCAAAACAGAGACTCTTAATCATCGCTCTTGGGACTAAACTCCAAGTAATCAAAGACCGCCTGGGTACACTGACCTCTTAAGCTCGACTGACTGTCCACAACCTTGGTGCGTTTGACTCTGATATGTCTCTGGCACAACTCACTAATCAGTCAACAACTGTCTCTTCCAATTAAGAAATATTTCAAAACTTTCGCCACAGTAGCTCAGAAAGTAGAGCGGGTTGTCGAACATTTGGAAAGTTGCAGGCTCGAGCCCGACTCCTGGAGGAGAAGTCTGCTGTTGTGTCCTTGGGCAAGACACTTCAGCCCCCCTTCCTGCTGGAGGTGGTCGGAAGGGCCGGTGGCACCTGTGCTCGTCAGCCTCACCTCTGTCAGTGAACCCCAGGGCAGCTGTAGCTACACTGTAGCTCATCACCACCTGGGAGTGAATGTGTGTGATTGGATGAATGATACACTGTTAAGTAAAGCGCTTTGGAGTCCTCTGACTTTGAAAGGCGCTATGCAAGTGCAGGTCATTTATCGTTTTTAAGAAAGAGCTAGAGATAGATGATAAATGTGCCACACTTGTAAAATGCCTTTCAGAGTCAGGGGACTCTACAGCGTATCATTCATCCATTCACACACACATTCACACGCTGATGGGGATGAGCTTCACTGTAGCCACAACTGCTCTGGGGCGCACTGACAGAGATGATAATACATGTTTTCATCTGTTCTAGAAAAGGCTACTGTAATAGCATGTTCACGTCTAAGCTAGAAGTAAGTAAGTAATGTTAATTAGCACCTTTTACAGAAAGAATCACAAAGTGCTTCACACCACAAAATAATAACAGACAATCAGCATAAGGAAAGCTTTCAATTCAATTCAAGTTTATCTATAAAGCTCCAAATCACGACAAGAGTCGTCTCAAGGACCTTCACACAGTAAACATTCTAATCCAGGTCAGTTCATTTAGCCAATCAGTAAAAAATTTCCTATATAAGGAACCCAGCAGGTTGCATCGAGTCACTGACTAGTGTCAAAGTCTTTACAGCAATCCTCATACTAAGCAAGCATTTAGCGACAGTGGAGAGGAAAACTCCCTTTTAACAGGAAGAAACCTCCAGAGAATCCTGGCTCAGTATAAGCAGCCATCCTCCACGACTCACTGGGGATGGAGAAGACCTTTGGAAGGTAAAACGGATCATCATAAAACCCGACGTAGGAGCAATAAAACATACCTATAAAGCGTAAGAAAATTAAAATCAAGCTATAAATAAATTCAAATAAATAATAACAACAGCCAAATAAAATCAATAAAAGTCCTAAAGAGATGTGTTTACAGCTGCTTTTTAAAAGACTCAGTAGTAGTTAGAGCTCGCAGGGTCACTGGTAAAGCGTTCCACAGTGAGGGGGCCACTGTCTGAAAGGCCCGGTCACCTCTGGTCCTAAATTTAGTTTGAGGCACTGTCAGGAGCAGTCGGCAATATAATCGAGTGCCTGACCATGTAATGCTCTGTAAGGACCAAGATTTTGTACTGAATCCTAAAGAAGACAGGGATCCAGTGTAAAGTTGCTAAAACAGGGGTGATGTGAGCTCTTCTGTTGGTGCATCTTAAAAGTCTGGCTGCTGACCTTTGGACCACCAGGAGACGTTGAAGACCCTTCTTGCTACAGCATGTGTAGGGTTAAATATTGTTGCTTTAAATCTTAATATACAGTCAGGTCCATAAATATTGGGACATCGACACAATACTAACATTTTTGGCTCTATACACCACCACAATGGTGGTCAAATGAAACGAACAAGATGTGCTTTAACTGCAGACTGTCAGCTTTTATTTGAGGTATTTACATCCAAATCAGGTGAACGGTGTAGGAATTAAACAGTTTGCATATGTGCCTCCCACTTGTTAAGGGACCAAAAGTAATGGGACAATTGGCATCTCAGCTGTTCCATGGCCAGGTGTGTGTTATTCCCTCATTATCCCAATTACAATGAGCAGATAAAAGGTCCAGAGTTCATTTCAAGTGTGCTACTTGCATTTGG